GGAAACTGTGTGGCACGACCGTTGCACCACCATCTTGGCACTATCGCCAGACAATCGTGTTGGCCTAAAGCCCAACTGCATGGAGCATATCATGGCATGGTGTCGTTTTGACACCTTGGACCACACGATAGCAGCCATTTAGGCTTTGTTGCGTTGACCCAGACACGACAGGCCTTCAACCTAATAGGCTTACATAGGCCTGAAGTCCCTTGGCCCGACCAAGAAACCTGCAGCTTTCTTGTCTCGTTATCCTGCGAGTCCCTAGCCCAACTCCAGCAGCCCAGTGCTGTTGGGCTTTTATTTGTCCCATGATTTAGCTTGCCAGCATTAGCTCATAACTAACTGGGCGTTGCCCCATTCAGCCTATTTGTCTGCAGCCTTTTGTTATTGGGCTTGACATGCCTCAACCCAAAAACATGAAACCCAGCTTCGGCTAGGCTTCCTCGGACCAACCCAAGGCCAGCTTCAATGGGCCTGCACCCGTGTCCAATTTTTGGCCCAATGCCAGCAGTTATTGCTGCTGGGCTCCCCAGACCACACTGCCTGAGGCCTGCAGCCCTCTCGTGACCTAATAAGCCTACAGCCGAACTGTATTGCCTATTCTCGTGTTATTTTTTCGACCTGATGCCAATTTTTGGTATCAAAATATAGTTTCTCATTATAATAAGATACATAGTAATAAACAGACAGCTATGTTAATTTTGTTGATTCAATTACAAGAAATGGCTTTAAACCAATTTTTGAACATATAAAATGTAGTGATAATACATTAGTTGATATCTTATCAAGTAGCACAATACCACAAGTCAGAAGAACACATTTTAATAACATAATGATACACCATGGACCTCCATCATTCAGCGGATTCCAAAATAGCATAAGTAGACCAATATCACCATCAGTACCCACTTTCAACTTTAATGGCACCATAGTTGAAGAAATTAGAAATCCAACTCTGAGATATAGGTCAAGCGTACCAGGACTCACTGATAGGCAATAGATTATTTTAGATAATTTTAGGAATGTTCAAATCAAACAGCCAAGCATGAGGTTAGGCCATGAAAAATTAATTAGAGCCTTAGACCAAGAGTTTTGATAGTTTTAATTATAATTTCCATCAAAGCCAACATCATATTCATTCTCTTGAACACAACCTTCAAGCCCTTTCTAGAAATCATGAGTCATTACTTAAAATGAACCAAGAACTCTGAACTCTTAAAATGCAGCAGAAGGCAAATGACACCCTAAAAAGATATTGAAAATAGGTTTAGAAGTTGATCATCATAAGAATAAAGAAAAAGAGGTTATTGAACTCATATAATAAGAGGCTAATGAGGCCATAGAAGAAAGAGATATAAGACTAAGATCTTAAAAGAAGATATTGAAATGGAGCAGCATTAGCATTTAAGTGATAAAGAAAAACAAGAAAGATATGAAAGATTTCTTAGGAATATATCTTTAGACTTAATAATAGATGATATCTTATTAGAAAGAAATTTCAAAAGCAAAATTAAGAATATTGCCACCAGATATGCAAAATGAGATCCTGAGTAAAGCATCATAGTCTATGAAAAAGTTACAATTACAATTACAATGTGCTTTGTATTAGTCCATCTTTGATCCAAAATCAAGGATGAATATTATTACAAAGATGTATTCATCATGTCTTTGTGATAATACAGAGAGTTGTATTTGTAAACCAGAGGTTAGCATAATTGTAGCCAGGATTAACATAAGAGATTTTAGACCATGGCATTTTAGTTACGAGCATCAGAAAAAACATAATATAGTAGAAGTTACTCCAGCTTGCTATTAGAGTTTGGCTATCTTGGTAAAATATTCATTAACCATATTTTCTAACTATAATCATTTCCTGAAAAGCTTATAAAAGTAGCAGAAGATTATCTAGAACAGTGGAAAGAAATCTGCATAAGTTTTATTAGTAGTCCTCTAGATTGGTATGTACATATACATAAGGAGAAAACTAGGCATATAACCATGATTAACGAAGAGTCCTTTAGACTATCCTTTATCTCTCCACACAGGTGGACTCCTTCATACAAAAATATTCTAGGATTTCAAGGGATCCAAATGCTAGTCTTATATGAGTTTGAAGAATTTAGGTATAATATGACACTAGTAGCTGAAGAAGAAGAAGAAGAATAATGTATAATTACAGTAAGACAAAAATCAGTCTATCAGCCCTACTGGAAGCCTTAAAATTTCAAAGGAGAAACAACATATATGTATTATAAGGTAAAAGAAGATAGAGAAAGAGATGCAGAGCTAGTAGAAGGCGATGAACAGTATTAAAACAATTTGACAGAAGAAGAGCTACATAACATCGACAACATGATAGAAGTATGAACAGCTGACAACAAATTAGCAAAAGAAAGTAGCATAAGTTGAATAACATTATACAAAATTATGTATTTTAATCAGATAGAAATGTTAACATCATTATGGACCCTACTACAATAATGAAATAATGGTATAATAGTAAATAAAGAAAAGAGCTTGATTCATTATAGACTTTTCATACCAAAAATGTTATTTTTATTAAGAATGAATGGTAATAAGCCCTTTTTATTAAGACCCCCTAAAATAAATTGGTTGTGAACGTTGGAGAATGGAGTCTCATATTAAGAATATAATAAAATAAGATACATTATATATATATATATATATATATATATATATATATATATAATATTCCATAAAACCCCACACTTAGCTAGTAATACTCGGTTAAGTTGGGGATAATATCGATGATGTTGGTAGATCATACTTGGCCTAAAATTTTATCATTAAATTAGAGCATGTTAATTTTTCAACACATTCTGGACCTATTTTACTTGGCTTGAATTATGACTAGGCCTTCAAAATTCGTGTGTTGCTTCTAGTGAATGAATATTGCATACAACATACTAACTAATAAATATAAAGTTAAAGAACAAAATCAATGATGTTGGTGGTGGATAACCGGGTCTAAAAGTTTATCAAAAATGGTAAAAGGGATATAAATAGAATCAACTGTATGTTTGGAAAGTTCCCAAGTTATGTGCACAAAACTTTGCCAATTAAAACTCGGGCTTTAAATCCTCAGATCAATTTTTTAACCTAAGTGTGTTAACTATTTATTTGGATCAACTGGACTTGGACTTCTGATTGCTTTGGGCCCAAACTAAAATTGGACAAGATTATGGAGATTTCCAGAATTATGGAAGATTGATTCGAGTATATTGTCTAATCAGTCAGCCACTAAAACCCCAACCACATTATTGATCCGAGGGCGGTGAATTGATCTGGTGAATGGGATCTTTATTTTTTTAATTCAAAGTGCTTCAGATTGAAACTCGATCTTCTCGTTGTCGAGCTTAAAATCGTAATATCGCTTGTACTAAGAAAAATCAACAATATACTGCACCATTTACTGGTATATCTCTGTGTATTTGCAGCAAAAAAAAAAAAAGGGTACATTCATAATGCTAAATTGCTAATTCAAAATACTGTTGCCAAAGCCATCGAGTTACTCAAAGTAGATACTCTATACTTGCTAAAATTTGATAAAATTGGGTCATATCTAAACATATCCATAAGCCTTCTTACTTGGTTTTAACTGTTCTTAATCACTTCTGCTAATCCTAGCAAAAATAATAATACCAATAATAATTAAGAGCTACAAAAAATACATTCTCACAGAGCTAGAAAAGAGTTTCTAAAGTAAACAACAAATTAATTTAATTTCTTCATGTGGAACAACATCTTTATCTTTGAGCAGTTCATGCGACTGTGAAGCTGCAGCTCCTTCCTAGTTCCTAGGCTTCAACCTGGCACACAAAATTTGTCTTGGAATCAATATATCTCCAGATGAAAGCGTAGGAACTAATTGCTTATTAACAACAGGACAGAAGGAGATTAAGGTAATAAATAATGAAGATTACTTGTTCTGAGTAGGATTTGGAATGCTGGGAGGTATTCTTCGGAGGCTATCGACCACCGGCTCGACGGTGACGGGCATTTTCTTGTCTCTGTGTGTATGTAGGAGAGCTTGAGAGGATGGTGGATGAACTCTTGCTAGGGCTGTATTACTACAAACTAAATGCATGAGTAATAACACAGCAATGATCACCTTAGCCAATGATTTGCAGCAGGATTTCATGGTTTTTGTTGACTCAGAGGATGTCTTCTTGCCAATGCTTGCTCCAATAATTGAGTTTATGGTTATTTATAACCTCATGAGATCTATAGAGAGAGAGAGAGAGAGAGAGAGAGTAGTTTTCCTTAACAAGATTTGGTAAATGATTTCCGCATCCTTATTCTTTCTTATTTTTGTCGCTTGATTCTTTTCTGATTTATTTCATTTAAAGGCCACAACTAAACAGGATGTGCAGAAAAAGAAAAATAATGTGCGGAAATCACCTCCCTAACATTTTGATTTGCTACTGTTAAGTTATATTATTAAATGGAGATTGGATACAGGAGGGTCATGTGATGAATCTTTGACTCGTTTGAGCTTCCAAGTTCCAAAGTTAATCTTCAAAGAAATTTTTGCGCACAACTTTTACTTTAAGAGAGCAGTCATGTGATCAGGCACGTGATTAATTTACAGATAATTGGTTGGCAAGCTTTGGATTCTGCCTTTCTGATGAGTAAATTTCATTAATCTGACTAACACTGGCCTTAAATATTAGACACTGAACTTAAAACTAAAAGGGTTCGATTACCAATGCAGTGCCAATTTGAAAACATAGTTTGAAACTGAATGTGCTGCTTAATATTATAATCCTGTACTTCAACTACCATATGCTGCATTCTCACCTTCACCAGCACCGAACTAAAATGTTTTGCGCAGTTAAACGCACTGAGATCCTGCAAGAGGGTTGTAGCATAAGTGGTTAGAGCGTTTTCTTCTCTATCTAAGGTTTTGTGTTCGATTCCACCCACTCTTAATATCGCTTGTATTATACACAATGAGATAATGTATTAGACCAGGTAGCTTGTGAATCAAGCAATTTTGTATTATCTGCTCCATTCTCTTTTGACCCAAATTTAGGCAAAGAGAAATGGGAATGTCTACAAATAAATAATTGTAACTACACTTTGATAAATGATAAGAACAAAGACACCAGAAATTCACACAATAATCTGTCGCCTATGCATCTCTGCCCTTCAACTTGTTAGGAAATCCGAATATCATAAGCCGACCTTCTTCGCTGTGAGAGAACATCCTTCACATTGCACGCCGGAGAAGTCAACCATTTCGGTACAGTACATATATCACTTGTTGGAGAATTATTTACACCTTAGTACTGCAAAAAAACTCTGCATCATCAAACCTACTTCATCTCATTTGATAAATTAAACTGGGTATTTCTTCAAACTTTCAGCAAGTTACGGTTAGCTCTTTAGTACCTGACAATACAAGAGGATAGTCAGGGCAAAGACCTTTAACAGTGGACAGTCAAAGAAACTACCAAATTTAGCTATGACTTGCATGTTGTTCAGGTATCTCGCAGTTGGTAAGAGCTCTTCAATTTCGATTTTCATATTAGAGCTAGGCGATCCCTTCTTCGTTTCATTCTCATTAACTACAGCATCCACACAAAATGTTGCACACACTGGCCGATGGTCAGAGAACCGGGACTCTCCCCTTATGTAAGAAAGTTGTCTAATCCCATTTCCATGCCATAGTATTCTGTCACACCTGCAATTCTAAACTCGTCAAATAAACTTCTTAGTTAAATGTGAATTGGGCTCCGTAAGTACATTCTTCCAATCGACATACCAGGCTGGTGTTCTTCTTTTCTTTTTCGATGTTTTTATCTCTCCGAAATAAGTGTCTGAGTTATAAAAGTATTTGTAAGTAGGTGCAAAGTAGATTTTTCCCTCCTTCCATCCTTTGAATACTCGCCCCTGCTTCTCTCTCAGTTTTGAGCTATATATGCAACCAAAACAAATACAAAATATGAGTAAGACAATTAGAATGTGACCTGATATGATAGTAAGATCAGTTACCTGGTCTTTGTCAAGAAGTGCATCCCAGTCATTGTCCACCAAAAGCTTTCGGGTTTCAGAGTAGCTCAAAGCAATGCGGTAATTCAAGTCTCCTAACCATATGACCATACTAGAACCATTTGCAAAGAGATTAATCAGATAATCAGCGTCAGTAAGTGTGAGAAAATTGTTGTGCCTTGGCCCGTTCGTCAGTGCGGAACCGAGATTCAGATTACAACCTCACCAATTTCACACACAGTTGAACAAAATAAAATACAAGAAATAAAGACACAGAGAAATTTACGAGGTTCGGCAAAAAAAATTGCCTACGTCCCCGAAGAGATATTGCTCTTCACTATGAGAATAACAGTACAAGTATACGTGAGTTAAATCGACATAACCCAATCCCATATTCCTTGTACACCCACTCACAGAATTTTCCAAGAGCCTCACTCTACCCCAAAAGTTCTTTCGCTAAAATACTTTTCACTCTAGCTCTCTTGATTTTCTCTCAACCCATGTTCAACCTTCCATGGGAGAGCCGAATGCTCTCCCCCTTGGATGCTCTCTTTTCCCTCTTCACAAAGGCATAACCAAATGCCTTAATATAAACAAAAGGCTCCGCCTTCTCTCTCTCCTCTTCTCTCTTTCGGCTCATCACACAAAGCCAAATCTTTGCCTTTGTAAAAGCCACAAATCAAGGGCTAGACATCATAATGATGTCCCCCTTTTTCTTTGTACCCTTTCTTTAGCCGAAAGTAGCTAGCACTCCACATGGTTGAGATGAAATTGTTGCCAACTCATAATATCAGAGCATCGTTGGGGGCTTTGGTTCGTTGGAGGTCCAGATTTGTTGTTCACCATGGAATTTTCAGTTGAGCAGTTTAAAGGGAGAGGCGGTTTTGCTCTTGGTAAAGGAGAGTAATGGAAGCCTGAAGAAATGGAAGCCGTGTTTAGGGATGCTTGGATCAACTGGGAAAGTTGATGTTGAGGAAGAAGACAAAGGCCTCTTTCTTCTTACCTCACTTTCAGATTTGTACGAGAACCTTGTGAAACTTTACTGCAAGGAAAGAAACAGTAAGTTTGGAGCAGGTGCAAGCTTCTTTGGTGTGGAATGATACACACAAGAGACCATGGATGATGGTGGGCACAAGACTGCTTAAGCTATTCAAGGTTGAAATCGTGGAAGAAAATTGGAAAGAGGATCTGAGAGAGACAGCAGGTTCGGATCCGGTTCCGGAGGCAAGGGTCCACAGTGCTACGGGTGCAAGGCCGGGTTAGCAAGTTTGTGGTGGAAGACTTTGAGTATGCCCTCTAGGTACTCGAAGCAACACTTCTCCTGGTGATGTTTAGTCTCAAGTGTTGCAGGGGTTTTGCAGCAGGTGGAGCTATGGGATTCACAGGTGATGAGAAGGTCCTGAGGTAGGAGGAAGTGTGGGAATTTTGTCTGGCTCGATGGGTTGTTGCTGGAAATAGGCGCGCTGACGAGTTTCCAGGTTGCAGACAATGAAGAGGAGGAAAACCTGCTGGAGGAGACGAGGATGTGTTGAGATCCTGTCTGAAGCTAAATGGTGATTTTTTAGCTTGCAGCAGGTGCACATGCATTGGCAGTAACTGAATCGGAACAGGACCAACGAGGTGGATTCAGAGTGTGCATGCTGGTACGTAAGGCCAATGGGCTTTGGTGATGGGTGCAAGGATTTTTGCATGGTGTATTCGCCAAGGTGGAGATTGTTGTGATTGGCTCATATTATGAGTTGGCAACAATTTCATCTCAACCATGTGGAGTGCTAGCTACTTTCGGCTAAAGAAAGGGACAAAGAAACAGGGGGACATCATTATGATGTCTAGCCCTTGATTTGTGGCTTTTACAAAGGCAAAGATTTGGCCTTGTGTGATGAGCCGAAAGAGAGAAGAGGAGAGAGAGAAGGCGGAGCCTTTTGTTTATATTAAGACATTTGGTTATGCCTTTGTGAAGAGGGAAAAAAGAGCATCCAAGGGGGAGAGCATTCGGCTCTCCCATGGAAGGTTGAACATGGGTTGAGAGAAAATTGTTGCCAACTCATAATATGAGCCAATCACAACAAAAATAGTGTTGGATTATGAAAAGGATTCAGTACTCAATAACAAGGTTGAAAGATACTTACTCATGTCCTAGAATTTTATCCGGCATCCTACTATGAGCCTTTTTGCAAATCTTTGGAAACTGAGTGCTCTTAAGTATCTCTAATACATCCAAATTTCTCCTAAGCTCGTCGCCCTCCTTCTCACCAGATGCCAAATGACTGCAGACAAAGCAAAAGCTTGTCTGATGGAATAAAAAGCTCACAGATATACAGCCCTGAAACCAGTGAACAGATAATTAATGTACTGCAAAAAAGTCATTTGAAATCTTCAATCATGTATAACCGACATCTGATGCTTGTAAAAGATTTTAAAGAATACCTTGTTTCCAAGGCATCCCATGATCCCACGACTGATGCAAGAGATTCTCAAGTGGCTAACATATTGTATACACTCTTTCCTCGCCCAAATAGTCACGAAAATTCCTACCATTTGCTTACTTGCTATAAGGCTGTACTTCATTTGGTTGGTAGCAGAGGCCATGGAAATTTCTGATATATCAAAGACATTAGATCCATCCTCATCCGGTTCTGAAGAAAGGTCGTCTTCATTTATGTTTGGTTGTTGGCATGTAAAACAAAAATCTTTACTATATTTCCTCTCTAGTTCAAAAGGGCAGTTGCAACTCTTCAACCTCCGTTTGCTCTCTGTCCTAAAAGCCTTACTGACCTTTTTAAGGGAAGGCTTTGACGAAAATCGCGAACCACCTAGGCTGGATTTGCTTGTTGAACACCCCTCAGGTGATTTGTTTAGTGACTGATTGATTAAAGCAAGCCATTTTGCTGCAGGTTCATTTTTATCTAGAACTAGCACATTTCCAGCATTTAACGGAACAATTTCCTGAAAACTGAAGGTAGAAAGCAGAAAAATTAATCACACGAACTATCAATATCTTCTACAGAAGAACTTAAACAATATGGAAATGCATTTTCATTTTAAAGGTTCTATAAAATTGATAGGACAAAACAGAAACTACACGCAGAGCGTGAAGTCACAGGTTTCTTTTCACAGCGTGTGCGCACGTGTGTCTGTTTGACACACCATCATATGCTAAATATTGTGACAGGCACGGAGACTCAAAAAACAAGTCCCCAATTATACTATTTCATTTGAAAAAATTGTCAAAATAATTTATCAATTTGAAACTAAGAAAAATCAGAAGGGAAACACAAAGTAGACGAAAGCAAAAAAAGAAATGAAGAGACCATATACCCCAAGACATATATGTCTGATTCATTGTAAACTTGAAGAAAATCATCCAGATTAAGGCCAATATGAGGAGATTTTCCTCCTACATTCCATGTCGCTACAAAAACCCTGAAACAAACAAAAATAAACGAGAAAACGAAAGTCAAAAGTTAGCGCATATGCATTCTTGTCAAAGGGATAGAAAGATGTTAACAAGAACTAGTTGTAGAAAATATTCCAATTACCGAAAGGACTGAGCGTATTGACCAGCAGGCATTTGAGACCCTGTCTCACTTGTAGATTGAATGTCAACTGCCGGAGTAGACTGCTGTGCTTCTGAAAGAGAAAACAATTACGGAAAGACTTCACGGTAAGATGTCAAATTTATAAGAATTGTAGGTTAAGCAAGACAGAAACTTCCTTTGAAAATTAAACAGGAAGCAGAGACAGAGAGGGTATGAGAGGGACACTTTTTATGCTTGCTACCTTTCTTACACTATTAGATTTCAAACATGAATATATTCTACGTTCAAACTTCCATCACGCTCTCCCTCTCTCTTAACCATCGATATCTTTCTTACCAAAAACGCCATTTTTAGTCCCCGAATATATATATGGTTGGAGTTGGACCAATTAATCGTCCCTATCTTACCGGAAAAAGTTAAAAGAAGAAGAACAAAACCTTTCAAAAAAGAAAAGTAAAATCACAATCTTCAAAAAACAGATGGGATTCTCTATTCTGCTATCTGTCAATCCAACAAGAAAGATAATATCAACTACAATATGAGTCCCCAACTGCAAGGAGTATCCTCTCTCTCTCTCTCTCTCTCTCTCTCTCTCTCTCTCTCTCTCTCTCGATTTTCTCCAATAGAAAACCATGGTAATAAGTGATTGCATTGAAACCAGAAAGAAATTCATTAGTCTCACCCGAGAAATCCGATGAGCCGCTTCCTTCTCTCTCCTTTGTGGTGAAAATTTTATGAATGAAAGACTGAAACAGAAGGGTTAAACAAAAAATCCAATTAATTAACAAAATCTGATTAAAAACACCATTTTGTTTGCAAAAAGATCCAAAAATATTTATCTACAAAATAGAAAAGAAGAAGAATTGGAAACAAAAATAAGAAAAGAAGAAGAATTGGAAACAAAAATAAGGAAAGAAACCTTCTTTTTCACGTCTTGTTTGCTGACAGTCATTTCTGAAACTGCAAGTTTTTCATCAACTGTGATTCACAGACCTTCACAAACATACGTACAGATAACAGATTAATACTGCAATTAGATCAACACACCCTCCAACAACCAATAATTAGATTGCTCCCACTTCTTTTTAAATGCAAAAAAAAAAAAAAAAAAAAGGAAGAAGGAAATTTCATGAATTGGAGAAAGATAATTATAGATTGAAAACAAAGAGGAAAACGTGGGAATATTGATAAAATAATAAGACTAAACAAACAAAAATAAATTGCCGGAGAAGAAGAATCTATTACCCAAACATCCAAAAAATAGCATCAAACACAAACACCAAAATGCAATTCAGTTTCGGATGACAGAAAAAAAAAAAAATACATAAATTACCAAACTTTGGAGAAGGAGGAGGGAAGAGATCTGTGTAAACCTATATAATATATATATATATATATATATATATATATATTATAAAGAAAGAGTGGCAATGGCGACAAGAACAACCAAACCATGAAACAAGTTGACAGGCAACATGGGTTTTCTCGAGAAAGTAAACTGGACAAAGCAATTCCCTATTCCTTTCCTTGATAAAATATCTGGAGTTGTTTGTTTAATTTATGTTTTCCAGAAAAAAGGACATGGAGAATTGAAGGTGATAAGGAAGAGACCTGTATATTCCATATGTTGTTGTTTGTGTGAGATTTTGCAGTGGATGGCTTCAAACTTCCACCACTTGTTCTTCTACAGTCGGTTTTTCAAGAAAAGTCCCCTCCCCATGTTGTTGGTGGACAATACAAGGACAAATGCAATATATAACTTCACGACCCAAACTCGTTTGGGTTTTAATACATTCTTTTAGAAAAATATATTTTATATTTACGAAGTTACAAAAAATAAATTTTGCTAATTTTAATTAACTATGATATTTTATCTTGGGGGTTTATTTAAGGGATAATTTGATATAGATCCAATTTTGTGAGCCATTAGTACAATTAGTCCACTGCATTGAAATAGGTCCAATAATCGATATTCCACGTAAGCTTATTTATAATTTGTACCATATTTATCCCTTAGACTTATAAATTGTAGTAAATATTCAAAATTTCTTAATTATATGATTATTTGTGGTTTAACTTATCCCTTAATTATAGGATTAGTTATAGCAATAAAATCTCAACCCCCGGTCCGTTTCATCCCTCCTTTTTTTTTTCCTTCATCTAAACAATTCTCTTTGTTAGATCATGGAATCAATCATCCTCTTTCTTCTCTCATCTTTCATGGGTGATAGTTTGTGTTCCTCCCTCCAAATTCCTTCATGACAATTTCAATTTTTACATAGCTTTCACAATTTTTTTTTTACATATTCGTTCGGCAATACAGTATCAATTGCAAGTAATAATACAGTATCATGCATTATATTTGCTCTATTATATTTTTGTGCGTATCATAAAGGTAAACTGAAACTTAGTATTTGTTCCTTTTTTTTTTTGTTTAGTATTTGTTCCTTTAATGGAGGTATATTATATCATATTTCTATTCTAATGTTTTGCCATGGAGGTTCAGCATTTTTCTTCCTATACAATAGGTAGTTTATTTTTATTTTGTTGGTAGATTATATCTATTTTGTAGGCATAAAGCATTTTTCTTCCTATACAATAGGTAGTTTATTTTTGTTTTGTAGGTAGATTACATCTGTTTTGTTGGTATAAAGTATTTTTCTTCCTATACAATAGGTAGTTACTAAATTATATTGGTTTTGTAGGTAAACATCATTAGGTCGTTACTAGATAATATTTTAGTTAGTATTTAAATATTCAAAATTAAAAACTGAATAAATGATACAAAAATTAAAGAATTTAAATATTTTTATCTAAAAGGGAAAAATTAGTATAAAAATATGTAATTGGATAACTGGACTTAGTTAAAAAACTACCTTTATTTTTGGACCTAGATCGAAAAGCCCCTTTATTTAATTAGGAGTTCGAAGGTTTTTAAAAGAGTTATAGATTTTCCTTAAAAAAAAAGGAGTGATCGATTCAATGAAGTTTGATGGTGTTCTAGTGCAGTTTCATAGACTCCGTGTGAATTCATTCAAAATCTTTAGGTTAGATGTTAATTTTCTAAAACCTAAAATACACTATAAATTTGTTCTAAATCATTAAAATTCTTAATATTTTAAAATTAATTTCTAATTGAATACACATGTAGTTTTATGGACTGCTTTAAAATCTTGATTGAAAATTTCAGTTTTTTATATAGTTTTATGAACTCTTTAAATTTTGATTGAAAACTGATGCACTTTCATATGTAAATTTCATCTTGTGGCTTAATTTCGGCATGACCCTTGAAATAAATTTGAACGTTAAGATGATTGTATGTCAAATTGCAATACACAAATGTTAAACATTATTATTTTTTCCTTATGAAAAACAATAAATATAAAAGTCATTTAGTATTACAATCTGAAGATATTCTTTTTTATTTATAAATAAGAGGTCTTAAATTCAAATATCATAGATAAAAAATTCGATACCGAATTATGCTACTCATTATGTGACTTAGCCAAACTTTTTTTTTCTTAATATAAAATATATAGTATACTTAGTGTAAATTATATTGTTGTATTAAAAAAAAATCAAAGTAAAACAATGATGACGGGCAAAAGATAAAGGGCAGAGAAGAATGTGAAATGTCCCATCGAACAGAGTCCAAGACGATAAGTTGGGAAATCGAATTGGGAATTGAGAAGTAAACGTTGAGTTTATTATGTCAGTTTGTACTTTGTTTTCTTCTCCGGAAGGATGCTGGTTCTGGCCTTCAATTTTGGCATATTATGATCATGATTTTCGTGCCTCCCGCTTTCAGCTTCATTAACATTTGCTGGAGAGAAAAATAAAAGAAATGAGATTTTTTCAGATGCTACGAAGCACTTGGTATTTTAAATGTTCTTTTTTAAGTGATTAGTTGGTGGTTTTATTATATGGAAAAAGATCTCATGATCATCTTCATTTATTGTATATTATACGGTTATTTTTCGTTAGCTACTATTTATATTTAATTTAAAATTTAAAATTTAAAATTATTTATGACTGCACGATGTATAATAAACGAACACGATCACGGAATCTCCAAGAAAAGGATTCGGTGAGGATCCTTTTCCTTATTATACAATCATTTTTTTTTTGGAGGTAATGAAGACTTACAAATATAGTTTAGTCTTCTCCAACACAATCGTGCAATTTATCAGTCCAAAAAATCGAACTTAAAAATTTCCATGTCAAATACGCATGTGAAATTCGTCTCCAATCATTGAATCACCTAGTTGGTACTTTAAATGTTTTAATTCTTAAATTTTATTTTTAAAAATTTAAAATTTAGCTGTCTCCAAAATTTTTGAAAGAGATTTAGTCAACAAAATAATAAAAATAAGGGAGTTTTTATATATTGATTCGTGCTAGAGCTAGATGATGAAAAATTATCACGTCCGGTTCTTTTAGGGGATAATCTAGAATAATTCACCTATCCTCATAACAAAAAAACCTAACTTGAATGATCATGTGTTAAGAGTTAAATTGGCTAAAGGGATGTGTCATAATTATTACGGAGAGTCTGCCGACTCCAACTATCACCCATGTGCGATTCATACTAGATCTTACCACTGGCCATCCTACCTTCTCTACGTTGTTGATAGCCCATATTTGTCTCAGTAGAGTTTTTTAGTGGCATGTTTTAGTTCTTTTCTCCATTACTTGAAAAAAATGAATTATCAATTCAAGTACAAGATACTATTATTACCACCTGAATAATTAAATATCCACGCAACGATTCACTTGAAAGAACGGAGCTCTACCAACTGAGCTATATATCCGCAGGCAAGTGAAAGAGATTTTATTCAACAAAATAATAAAAATGGAGTTATGTGTATAAGTTTTTAGTGTGACAGGGTTGGAGGACAGAGATACTTTGGCTTTGGAAGAGGAAAAAGAGGCCCCACGTGTGTATGTGTGTGTCTGTCAAACAGTCAAAGCTGGGGATGCTTTCTTTGTGGGTGATGGTTTCCTGACAGTACGGCAGGCGCTACTCCCGCTGGCACCAATTTAATATTATGCACTCGCCCGGTCCCCTGTTTCGGCTTTTGGGTTCATCACCACTCACGGTCCAGTTCTACCCGGTTTCATTCTTAAATTAGAACTGAAATCGAAAAATTTCAACAATTCAATTTGATGCAATTCTGCTTAAATTTATTATTAAAATCGTACGGCTCAGTTCATGATGGTTTCGGTTCAGTTCATGCCGATTTACGGTTCTAATCAAAATTATATATATGTTTTTTCTAATTTTCTACTTCTAATACCAAACACATATTTCAACCATAAATTCAAGTAAATTTGAGTTTCCACTATTAGATCTACAAGATTTGTGATGGAGGATAGAAAGTGTGCATATAAATATAAATTAAAAGATAGAAAGACTCATATCAAGACCAAAGTGTAGATCTTAAATTAAAATTAAAATGTACATAATGCATAATATACTAGAAAAAGAAGGGAGAAAAATAATGTAGGGAGAGAAAAGTGATAAAACAACAAAGGAGGGGGGAGAAAAGTGAAGAAAAATATTGGGCTTATGCATATGGTCTTCTTGGAAAAATGTCTTATTTATATAAAAATAATAATAAAACAATAATTTATATTAAAACCGGTTCGATCCAGTTCCTCTGGTTCTTAATATTTCCAAATCGGAATCGGAACCATTTGAAACGGTTCGGTTCGGTTTTTATTCCGATTTTGACTATTTTGGTCAATGCGGTTTTTTACGTTTTTTCTTTGTCCAATTCGATTTTTCGGTTTAGTGATTTTTATGCCCACCCCCAACTTCGCAAATTCTCTCTTTCTTTTTTTTTTTTTCCTTTCAAGAGGGTTATAAGTTATTTTATATTATCGAAATTTAGAGTCAGTTTCACAATGAACAAGGGGGTTTTAATTATTATTTTTTTAAATATTGTTGCTAATATTACTCTCAAGTAATAGTGATGTTCATTACTTTATTTATCATCGTTAGATAATGAGTATGGTGGTGAGAAAAAATACACCTTTTTTTTTTCATACGCCGTGACAATTTTACAGGCATTCAACAAGTTCACACCTTTTTGTTTTTGTTTTTTTTGTCAAATAATAGATTTGTTAGATTAGGAAACCAAAGAAGATCGAACTTGCACTGTGCTGCAAGGGCAACACTAGTCTCTATCACTGTAATAGAAGACCACTTGCTACACTTTTTGTTAGGTTGACCGTCATTAATTAAGGACATGGATACGCAAGACTTACCCTAAAGTTTCATAGGTGTTTATTTGGGGTACAATACACTTAGTGGGTTTAGAGGGGTGATTGTTGCTATAATATATGAGCAATTAATGGTTGACCATACAATCAACTTAAAAAGACGTAAGTTGGACAAATATCAAAAGGCAAGGGTGTGATATGAAAAAAATTGAAATCTGGTTGTTTGATTTGAAATTGATTCCAAACTTTAATGGTGTAAAATGTACTTAGCTTCTTTTTTAATTACGAAGCGAGATTTAAATTTGAGTGCAAAGAAAGAATTACAATATTTAAACTAACTTGTCTATGCTTATGCCTACGCCAATTGTCAATTTCTTCAATTATTCCTTCTTTTTGTTGGCATTTTCTAGTTTTGGAATTTCAAGTTGAAAACCGTCTAACCGAACCAATCAGCTAGGTTTGTCATGAATTCGATAACTGACTAATCTCATTCGATATTGTACCAAAATCAATCGGGTCA